CCACACCGGTCACCTAACACCCAGGATGCCACCCACACCAGTCCACTAACACCCAGGATGCCACCCACACCAGTCACCTAACACCCAGGGTGCCACCCACACCAGTCCACTAACACCCAGGATGCCACCCACACCAGTCACCTAACACCCAGGATGCCACCCCACACTAGCCACCTGACACCTAGGTACCTACTTACTGCTAGGTGAACACTGACAGCAGGTGTAAGGTAACTAACACCCAGGTACCTAGTTACTGCTAGGTGAACACTGACAGCAGGTGTAAGGTAACTAACACACAGGTACCTACTTACTGATATATGAACACTGACAGCAGGTGTAAGGTAACTAACACCCAGGTACCTACTTACTGCTAGGTGAACACTGACAGCAGGTGTATGGTGACTAACACCCAGGTACCTACTTACTGCTAGGTGAACACTGACAGCAGGTGTAAGGTCACTAACACCCAGGTACCTACTTACTGCTAGGAGAACACTGACAGCAGGTGTAAGGTAACTAACACCCAGGTACCTACTTACTGCTAGGAGAACACTGACAGCAGGTGTAAGGTAACTAACACCCAGGTACCTACTTAGTGCTAGAACACTGACAGCAGGTGTAAGGTAACTAACACCCAGGTACCTACTTACTGCTAGGTGAACAGTGACAGCAGGTGTAAGGTAACTAACACCCAGTTACCTACTTACTGCTAGGTGAACACTGACAGCAGGTGTAAGGTAACTAACACCCGGGTACCTACTTACTGCTAGGTGAACACTGACAGCAGGTGTAAGGTAACTAACACCCAGGTACCTACTTACTGCTAGGTGAACACTGACAGCAGGTATACTGTAACTAACATCCAGGTACCTACTTACTGCTAGGTGAACACTGACAGCAGGTGTAAGGTAACTAACATCCAGGTACTTACTGCTAGGTGAACACTGACAGCAGGTGTAAGGTAACTAACATCCAGGTACCTGCTTATTGCTAGGTGAACACTGACAGCAGGTGTAAGGTAGCTAACACCCAGGTACCAACTTACTGCTAGGTGAACACTGACAGCAGGTGTAAGGTAACTAACATCCAGGTACCTACTTACTGCTAGGTGAACACTGACAGCAGGTGTAAGGTAACTAACACCCAGGTACCTACTTACTGCTAGGTGAACACTGACAGCAGGTGTAAGGTAACTAACACCCAGGTACCTACTTACTGCTAGGTGAACACTGACAGCAGGTGTAAGGTAACTAACACCCAGGTACCTACTTACTGCTAGGTGAACACTGACAGCAGGTGTAAGGTAACTAACACCCAGGTACCTACTTACTGCTAGGTGAACACTGACAGCAGGTGTAAGGTAACTAACACCCAGGTACCTACATACTGCTAGGTGAACACTGACAGCAGGTGTAAGGTAACTAACCCCAGGTACCTACTTACTGCTAGGTGAACAGTGACAGCAGGTGTAAGGTAACTAACACCAGGTACCTACTTACTGCTAGGTGAACAGTGACAGCAGGTGTAAGGTAACTAACCCCAGGTACCTACTTACTGCTAGGTGAACACTGACAGCAGGTGTAAGGTAACTAACACCCAGGTACCTACATACTGCTAGGTGAACACTGACAGCAGGTGTAAGGTAACTAACACCCAGGTAAATGCGTCATAAGAACGCTGTTAATAAAATAATTAATTATATTGTTACTTTGTCTAAGTTCAGTTGTTTCCTTCTTTCCAGGTAAGAGCCCAACTTTAAGTTAGTCTTCCCTGAAATGGCGAGTGAAGAAGAGAACGGTGAGTTAAGAGAAAATGGTTCCTAGAATGGAGATTTCAGGGGTTACTATTGAATTTTTGTGTAATGATACTCAGGTTAAAAGGTTAAGGTGTGTATCTCAGTGTATATACACTGAGAGGTGTATATCTCAGTGTATATACACTGAGAGGTGTGTATCTCAGTGTATATACACTGAGAGGTGTATATCTCAGTTGTATATACACTGAGAGGGTTTTATATCTCAGTTTTATATACACTGAGAGGTGTATATATCAGTTTTTATACACTTGAGAGGTGTGTATCTCAGTGTATATACACTGAGAGGTGTGTATCTCAGTGTATATACACTGAGAGGTGTGTATCTCAGTGTATATACACTGAGAGGTGTATATATCAGTGTATATACATGAGAGGTTTTGTATCTCAGTGTATATACACTGAGAGGTGTGTATCTCAGTGTATATACACTGAGAGGTGTGTATCTCAGTGTATATACACTGAGAGTTTTATATATCAGTGTATTTTACACTGAGAGGTGTGTATTCTCAGTTGTATATACACTGAGAGGTTTTATATCTCAGTGTATATACACTGAGAGGTGTATATCTCAGGTTATACACTGAGAGGTGTATATCTCAGTGTATATACACTAAGAGGTGTATATCTCAGTGTATATACACTGAGAGGTGTATATCTCAGTATATATACACTGAGAGGTGTATATCTCAGTGTATATATACACTGAGAGGTGTATATCTCAGTGTATACACACTGACAGGTGTATATCTCAGTGTATATACACTGACAGGTGTCTATCTCAGTGTATATATACACTGACAGGTGTATATCTCAGTGTATATATACACTGACAGGTGTATATCTCAGTGTATATACACTGAGAGGTGTATATCTCAGTGTATATACACTGAGAGGTGTGTATCTCAGTGTATATACACTGAGAGGTGTGTATCTCAGTGTATATACACTGAGAGGTGTTATTTTTCAGTGTATATACACTGAGAGGTGTTGTATCTCAGTGTATATACCCCTGAGAGGTGTGTATCTCAGTGTATATACACTGAGAGGTGTGTTTCCCCAGTGTATATACAAATGAGAGGTGTATATATCAGTGTATATACACTGAGAGGTGTGTATTTTCAGTGTATATACACTGAGAGGTGTATATCTCAGTGTATTTTACACTGAGAGGTGTATATTCAGTGTATTTTACACTGAGGGTTGTTTTATCTCAGTGTATATTTCACTAAGAGGTGTATATCTCGTGTATATACACTGGAGAGGTTATATCTCAGTATATATACATGAGAGGTGTATATTCCGTGTATTATATCACTGAGAGGTGTATATCTCAGTGTATACACACTGACAGGTGTTTATCTCAGTGTATTAAAACGACAGGTGTATAAACTCAGTGTATATATACACTGACAGGTGTTTTTATCTCAGTGTATATATACACTGACAGGTGTATATCTCAGTGTATATACACTGAGAGGTGTATATCTCAGTGTATATATACACTGAGAGGTGTTTTCTCAGTGTATATACACTGACAGGTGTATATCTCAGTGTATATACACGACAGGTGTATATTCTCACTGTATATATACACTGAGAGGTGTATATCTCAGTGTATATACACTGAGAGGTGTATATCTCAGTTTTATATACACTGAGAGGTGTTATATCTCAGTGTTTATACAAATGAGAGGTGTATATCTCGTGTATATACACTGAGAGGTGTATATCTGTGTATATACACTGACAGGTGTATATCTCAGTGTATATACACTGACAGGTGTATATCTCAGTGTATATACACTGAGAGGTGTATATCTCAGTGTATATACACTGACAGGTGTATATCTCAGTTATTTACACTGAGAGGGTAAAATCTCAGTTGTATATACCCCTGACAGGTGTATATCTGTATATATACACTGACAGGTGTATATCTCAGTGTATATACACTGACAGGTGTATATCAGTGTATATACACTGAGTGGTGTATATATATCTTAGAGTATATACTCTGAAGTATATATATCAGTGAACCCTGGTCGTGGCTAGTTTATTGTGCACCTCATATCTATCCTGTGGATGGTCGTGCAAGAGCGTATGGATACGGAGAGAGAGAGAGAGATACTGGAGCTGTCAGATTGGTTTCCTGGGCACCTAGGCCAGTTTGTCAAGTATGTGATACATTCCACAAGGCTACCCGATACCCACGATACCCGCTATCGGGGATTGGTAGGCGGGTAGAGGCGTTGCAGGTGCCTCCACACAGTCCCTGCTCCACGATGGTGGTACCTGTGGCCCTTGTGTCCGTGTCTTTGGTGCTTCTCTGGTACCTGTCACACGGGTATTTTATCAGTGCCTGCTACAGTGTAGGTAAGATCTCTGGTACCTGTCACACGGGTATTTTATCAGTACCTGCTACAGTGTAGGTAAGATCTCTGGTACCTGTCACACAGGTATTTTATCAGTACCTGCTACAGTGTAGGTAAGATCTCTGGTACCTGTCACACAGGTATTTTATCAGTACCTGCTACAGTGTAGGTAAGATCTCTGGTACCTGTCACACAGGTATTTTATCAGTGCCTGCTACAGTGTAGGTAAGATCTCTGGTACCTGTCACACAGGTATTTTGTCAGTGCCTGCTACAGTGTAGGTAAGATCTCTGGTACCTGTCACACGGGTATTTTATCAGTACCTGCTACAGTGTAGGTAAGATCTCTGGTACCTGTCACACGGGTATTTTATCAGTACCTGCTACAGTGTAGGTAAGATCTCTGGTACCTGTCACACGGGTATTTTATCAACACCTGCTACACTGCAGGTAAGATTTCTGGTACCTGTCACACGGGTATTTTATCAACACTTGCTACAGTGTAGGTAAGAAATCTTGTGCTCTGGTATGTATGTTGCGATATGCTAGCACCAACAGCCTCTGTACTCCCCTGATTGTGGTTGCAGAGGTAGAGTCATAGCTCCTGGCCCCGCCTCTTCGCTGGTGGCTACTTGATCCACTCTCTACACCATGAGCTTTATCATACTTGCGTGCGTGTGTGTGTGTGTGTGTGTGTGTGTGTGTGTGTGTGTGTGTGTGTGTGTGTGTGTGTGTGTGTGTGTGTGTGTGTGTACATGCACCTGGGGTCTAGTTACCTGTGCACAAGACAGCGTAGCCAAGCTTTTAAGACCCACATTACCTTGTACCTGTCCTAAGTCAGCCCAGAGCAGACAGATAGATCACATCTCCGATATTACTCTTAAAATTACTGCTTCCAGTGATGCTTAGAATTTCTGGCGGGTGTTTTATCCCGGTAAAAGTATATATTGCGTCTGAGTAACGAACAATTTTGGTAAATAACGTTAGCTTAAAGAAGACAAGATTGGAGTTTGATACTGTGGATGGGATTTCAACAGGATTCGACCACAGAGTGCAAGACACTTGCTTGACGAGTGTTCAGTCTGTTAGATGCACTCTTGTGAAGTGTGTGTGTGTTGTTCTGAGTGAAGGTGGGTTAGTCAGTGTTACACTAAGACAGTGAGGGTACTCTTGTCTACCTCTGAGTGAAGGTGGGTTAGTCAGTGTTACACTAAGACAGTGAGGGTACTCTTGTCTACCTCTGAGTGAAGGTGGGTTAGTCAGTGTTACACTAACAAGCGTATTAGTGGACGCTACTCTTGATTAGAGTGGTGATGGTGGTGTTTCGTTTATCAGGAAACAGGACAAGTGTACTATGAAACGAACCTTGGTGTTCTGTTCTCAGGAAGCAGGTGTGTTCCCTTAATCAACCTGGTGGTGTTTTGTTTGTCAGGAACCTTAACAAGTGTCTCCTGGAGTGGGTCTGTGACACATAATGGCTCTCTCGCTACTTAAATTTGCTCTAGCCTGCCCCATCTACCGTCTTGACCCGATTTATACAGACTTGTTACCTAGTAATGGGTAGCGAGGTTCTCATACTGTAGGATCTCGGGGCATCATGCCCAGGCTTGGATTTCTTAGTTTTTTTAGTAGGGGTCAGCGGGGCAGGTCCAGTGGTGATGGAGAGGGCAGCTGTAGTAATAGTGACCAGTGCAGCAACAATAGTGGTAAGCCCTGGGATGCTACCCCGGAGCCATCTACCCCTAGGACTCCTGCTAAGTATAGAAGGAGTGGTCACTGGTCCCCGCCACAACCTAGACCTCTAGGCAGCCTAGAGAGGTCTAGCAGTCATGAGATGCCTAGGTCACTGACAGCTAGTGGGTCGTGGGACGAGACAGAACCTCCTAGCCCAGTGCTGACCCTCCCAATGTGCGCTCCACTAGACAACAGACCACTAAGTGATGGTGAAATACACACTGCTGCGCGGGAACTGCGCCGGCGCAGCTCCCGAGATGTTATTAAGGAAGCAGTAACGAAGATACTGGACGATAAGAAGGCCAGGAGGGAGAGGTCATGGAGAGTCAAGGATAGGGAACGAGGAACGACCGTCAGGTCTAGATATTCTCTTCGTAAACGCCATAAACTCAGGCTGGTCTCTACCCCTGACACGGATGATGACTCTATTGACTTTAACTACCACACACGTCAACGCCACCAGTGGCGGGAGAGACTCAAAGTCATGGGCTCTACTGATGCAGAGTCTGACAGCTACACGGAGAGTATAGCCGATACTAGTCCAGTGCCATCCCCAAGACCCAACATCGCCAAGAGAGCGTCTAACTTCTTTCTAAAGTCCTTCAAGGCTATGTCTGCCAACATTCTTCTCAACAAGAAGTACATACCCACGTACTATCTGAGTGGCACGCACGAAATGCCCGAACCCGATCAGATACTGAGCAGGTTGGGGCATTCTCTGGATTCCCAGCTGGAATCTCGGCGGCCATCAGTGACAGAACCTCGATCCTTGTGTGTTGTGTGGGACCTGTCGCCTGAAGACGTTGCTCCTGTGCAGGATACAAGCAGCAGTTCGCCTGCTACCACTGCTGATACACTTCAGTCATCCCCTGGTTGTCACCCACATCCCTATGGAGATGAGGATCATATATATGAGGATCTATGCTTCAAGAGTTCTGGCTCTACTGTTAAACCTCCTGAGGACACTTACGAGGATTGTGGGGATGGGTTCGCGGCTCAGCGAGAACAGCAAAGATATAGATTGTCTCAGTGGTCAAGAGTTATGCCTGCCTCAGCTCTTGTTACCTTGCATGAGGGTAAGAGTGACCAGTGTGGCAGGCAGAAAGTGACTCTTGTGCCTCGGCAGCCTTCACCTTACCCAGCCAGGTGCAGGAGTTTCCAGTCTCCAGGACCTCGCTCTCGTTCCGACTCTCCACGACACAGGAAACGACTCTTTCTACCTGCACCACTGCCTCCACGACCACCCCTACATGTTGCACCTCCACGACCTCCGGTACACCCTGGTTCTGCACTACCTCCAGTACACCCAGGCCCACCACTACACCCTGGTGCTTTACAGCCATCACAACACCCTGAAGTATCATCACCACCACCACTGCCACCAGGAACCGTACTACCACCATTATCACCACAATCTCCACACTCACAACTACTACAACGATCGCTCCAATCTGCATCACCAGCAGAGGCTCCTGCTCACAACACCACATTGTTAAAACCTCCACTACCACCTTTACCTACAAGAACCGCTGAAGTTAAAACCGCAAGTGGGAAACCCACTGAAGGTATTCGCGACATCGCCCACCGCAGGAAAGGTACAAGAGTTTCATCGATCTCCATTCCACTGGGTGTTCAGTGCGAGGAACCAGAAGAGGCAACCCTTTCACCAACCCCTTCTTCACCCATATATGCCCAGCCGTTTGCCTCATCACCAGGAGAAGGGACACCCTCTTATACTACCCCCTTCAGGGATATATATTCCCTTACACCGACTCTCTTAAGCCCGAGTGAGGCCAAAGAGGAGGTTGAGAGTGCACCTCTTTCCCTTCCTCCCCAGAACGTCTTCTTCGGACAGGACTTTAACGACGAAGGTAGTTATTTGGTCAACAGTCCCCCTGCTGCGCAGAACTATTACGAACCTCATAGGGATTCTGCGTACTTTTCCACGGACGAAGGTACTGATGCACCCAACGTAGGCGACCACCATAGGCCTCCGGAAGTGTTTTCAAATCCGTCTTCACCTCCTTCATCTAAGGCACTCCTGAAGAAGGCCATTGAACACTCCTTTGTCGATAGTCTTAACCGCCTGCCGGAGATAGTGGCGTCTGAAGTGAACCGGCAAGTTCGCCATTATCTCAGCGCCTCTGAGATCACGACAGAGATACGCAAACAAAACACAGTAGATTCCAGCGATAACATTCCATCGACCCTCAACGCCTCCAGAAGCTTGTCGTGTTCACGACACAATTTAGCGGGCGACGAGACCACGACAGGTGAGAAAGTGGACACATACGAACGACCAGTACGCCCGTCGTTCCTAGATTTGCAGACTCTTCACAGGAGAAAGCATAGTTACAGCTGTCAGGACCTGCTAGGCGAGGATATGTTCCAGCCTGGGGTGTATCCCTGCAGCAGACAGCCGCGCATCAACACTGCCATTTCCTTCGCAGACCTCAACCTTGCGGACCAACTTGTAGCCTCAAGAGGGCCATTGGGTCTTTCAGACCACACAGCGTCCATGCCCGCGCATCTGCACCACCTGCCCTACATACCGTGCCCCGGGTATCAGTCAGTGCCTGAAGTCGAAGTGGAGGGCATGCTCGTGGACCTGCCCCGCAAGCACCACCTGCCGCTTAAGGAAGCTCTGAAGCCTCTGTGTCGGGAGCTACGGAGGAGCCTACTGCTGAAGGAGGCTGAGGAGAGCCCAGCTGGTGCTCACAGTAAACATCTGGTGCTTAAACTCAACGTTAAGCTGGACCAGGTGGAGGGAGACCTAAGTGATTCCTCCATGGAGTGGGATTATTTTGACCAGCGGAATGGTAAGTCTTAGTGTTCCTCCATGGAGTGGGACTAGCTACTACGTGGTCTGAACTGGGCAGTTCAGACCACGAATATCGTGACTTCCGAACATAAATGAAAGCCCAGTTAATTCTCTCTAAACCTTTCTCTTGTACAAATGTCAACATACACGTCCCTAGTTGTCTGCCATCTTCCAGGTACGGTGTCTGGTACAGTACTGTTGTCTGCCATCTTCCAGGTACTGTGTCTGGTACAGTACTGTTATCTGCCATCTTCCAGGTACTGTGTCTGGTACAGTACTGTTGTCTACCATCTTCCAGGTACTGTGTCTGGTACAGTACTGTTGTCTACCATCTTCCAGGTACTGTGCCTGGTACAGTACTGTTGTCTGCCATCTTCCAGGTACTGTGTCTGGTACAGTACTGCTGTCTACCATCTTCCAGGTACTGTGTCTGGTACAGTACTGTTGTCTACCATCTTCCAGGTACTGTGTCTGGTGGAGTACTGTTGTCTACCATCTTCCAGGTACTGTGTCCGGTACAGTACTGTTGTCTACCATCTTCCAGGTACTGTGTCCGGCACAATACTGTTGTCTGCCATCTTCCAGGTACTGTGTCTGGTACAGTACTGTTGTCTGCCATCTTCCAGGTACTGTGTCTGGTACAGTACTGTTGTCTGCCATCTTCCAGGTACTGTGTCTGGTACAGTACTGCTGTCTACCATCTTCCAGGTACTGTGTCTGGTACAGTACTGTTGTCTACCATCTTCCAGGTACTGTGGTACAGTACTGTTGTCTGCCATCTTCCAGGTACTGTGTCTGGTACAGTACTGTTGTCTGCCATCTTCCAGGTACTGTGTCTGGTACAGTACTGTTGTCTGCCATTTTCCCAGGTAGGGTGTTGGTCCCGTACGGGTTTTTCCCATCTTCCGGTCTTTTGGTGCAGTACGTTGTCTCCACTTCCAGGTACGGGTTTTGGGTGCAACTGTTTTGTCTACATCTTCCAGGTATGTTGGGGTACAGTTTGTTTTTCCCATTTTTCCGGGTATGTTTTGGGTTTCGTAGTTGTCGCCTTTCCGGGTTACTGTGCCCGGTGGGTACTGTTGTCTACCATCTTCCAGGTACTGTGCCCGGTACGAATGTTGTCCCCCAATTTTCCGGGGTACTGTGTCCGGCACAGTATTTTCTGCCTTTCCAGGTACTGTGCCCGGGAAATACGTGTTGCCATCTTCCGGTACGTGTCGGACAGTACTATTGCGCCATCTTCCGATAGGTCTGGAAACAGTCCCCGTTGTCTGCCCATCTCCGGGTCTGGTCCGGTACTTACTTTGTTCCCCATCTTCCAGGTACTGTGTGGGGACTTACTTTTGTCGCCATTTCCAGGACTGTGCCCGTCAGTATGTTGTCTGCCATTTCCAGGTACTTTTTGGGTTTGCAGTATGTTGTCTCCCTCTTCCAGGTACTGTGTCGGTCGTCTTTTGGCTGCCTCCCCCGGGTTTCTGTGTTGGTGCAAGTACTGTTGTTCCCTCTTCCGGGTTATGTGCCGGTCAGTACTGTTGTTTCATTTCCAGGTGCTGTGTTGGGCAGTACTGTTTCTGCCGTCTTCCAGGTATGTTTGGGTCAGAAATGTTTCTCCCATCTTTCAGGTTGTTCTGGTACAGTGGGGTTCTGCCATCTTCAGTACGGGTCTGGTGCAGTACTTTTGGGTCTTTTCCCGGTAGTGTCTGGTGCAGTATTTTGTCTGCATCTTCCGGTACTGTGTCGGGTACGTACTTTGTCCCATCTTCCGGGTACTTGTCGGGTCAGTACTGTTTGCCATGTTGTTACCATGTTCCGGGTTCTGTGTTGGTGCAGTTTTTTGTCTCCCATTTCCGGTATGGTCCGGTACATACTGTTGTCTACCCATCTTCCAGGTGCTGTGTTGGTGCAGTACTGTTGTCTCCCGCCCCGGGTACGTGTCTGGACAGACGTGGTTTTACCATCTTCAGGAAAGTGTCCGGTACAGATTTTGTTGCCATTTTCCGGTACTGTGTTGGTGCAGTATTTTGGGCTATTTCCGGGTACTGTCCCGGGTGGAGTTGTTGCCATTTTCCAGGTACGGCCCGGTACAGTACTGTTTCTGCTATTTTCCCAGGTACTATGTCTGGAAAAAGTACTGTTGTCTCCCATTTCCGGTCGTGTCGGTACAGTTGTTTTTGCCATTTCCGGGAAAAGTCCTGGTACAGACGTTATCCCCACTTCCGGTACTGTGTTGGTGCGTACTGTTGTTGATTTACAGATACGGGCCTGGTGAATTGTTGTCCCCATCTCCGGTACGTGCCCGGTACGTACTGTTGTCTGCCTCTTCCAGGTAATGTGCCTGGACGATTTTTATCTCCCATCTTCCAGGTACTGTTTTGGGGAAAAGACTGTTGTCTGCTATCTTACGATACGGGCCCTGGTGCAATAGTGTCGCCTCTTCATATGTGCCCGGTACGTCTGTTGTTGCTATTTCCCGGGTACTGGTTGGTACGTCGATGTCTCCCATCTTCCAGGTACGTGTCTGGTACAGTACGGGCCCTACCATTTCCCGGTACTTGTCTGGTACGACTGTTGCCCCCCTCTTCCAGGAATGTCCCTGGTCAGACTTTGTCGCCTTTTCCCGGTCGTTTTGGGGCAGTATGTTGTCTCCATTTCCCAGGTTGTGTTGGTGCGTACTGTTGTCTCCACTTCCAGGTATGTTCGGTACAGTACTGTTTCTGCTATCTTCAGGTAGTGTTGGTACAGCTTTTGTCTACCAGCTTCCAGGTACTGTTCCGGTACAGTACTGTTGTCGCCATTTTCCAGGTCGGTCTGGTGCTTTACTTTTGTTCCATTTTCCCAAGTACCCCTGGTACAGTACTTTGTCTCCCATTTTCCCAGGATTTGTGCCGGTACAATATTGTCTCCCATTTTCCCGGTACTGTGCCGGTAAAATATTTTGTTCCATTTTCCCAGGTCTGTGTCTGGTACGACTGTTGTCTCATTTTCCCAGGTCTGTGTTGGTACAGTACTGTTTTTGCCATCTTCGGGGTACTGTGTCTGGACATACGTTTTCTCCCTTTTCCCAGGACGTGTCTGGAGTAATGTTGTCTACCGCCCCAGGTACTGTGTCTGGTCAGTATGTTGCCCATTTTCCCAGGTACTGTGTCCGGTACTATGGGTCTCCCATTTTCCAGGTACTGTTGGTACAGTACTGTGTCTGCCATTTTCCCATACTGTGGGTACAAAATGTGTCTCCCAGTTTCCCAGGTACTGTGTTGGGTACGATGTTGTTTACCATTTTCCCCAGGTATTTTTGGCCCGGACAGTACTGTTGTTCCATCTTCCAGGTACTGTGTCCGGTACAGTACTGTTGTTCCATTTTCCCAGGACTGTTTGGCAGACTTTTTCTCCATCTTCCGGGGTACTGTGCCCGGTACAGTCGTTGCTCCCATTTCAGGTACTGGTCGGTACGTTTTTGTCTCCCATCTTCCAGGCGGCGGACAGTATGGGTTCCATTTCCAGGTATGTGTTGGCAGTACTTTTGTCTCCCATTTTCCAGGTAGTGCCCCGGTACAGACGTTGTCTACCATCTTCCAGGTACTGTTCTGGTACAGTACTGTTATCGGCATCCCCCAGGTACTTTTCCCGGACAGTATGTTGTCAACCATTTTCCCGGGTAGTGTCTGGAAATATGTTGTCTACCTTTTCCAGGTACTGTGCCCGGTAAGTTGTTGTCTACCATTTTTCCGGTACGGCCCGGTACATAATGTTGCTACCTCTTCCAGGAGTGTCCGGGTACAGTACTGTTGTTCCCCTTTTCCAGTACTGTGTCCGGTACAGAAAGTGTCACCACCCCCAGGATGGTCCGGTCAGTAAGTTTCACCATTTTCCAGGACTGGGTGGGACATATTTTTTTGCCCCCCATCTTCCGGGTACTGGTCCGGTACAGTATGTGTCTCCATCTCCGGGTACTGGCCCGGTACAGATGTTGTCTACCATTTTCCCAGGATGTGCCCGGGTACAGTATTTTGTCTACCATCTTTCCAGTACTGTGTCGGACAGTACGTTGTCACCTTTCCGGGACGTGCCCCGGTACAGAAACTTTTGTTACCATCTTCCGGGACTGTGCCCGGTACGTAATGTTGTTACCATTTTCCCGGGTACTGTGTCCGGACGACTGGCTCCATTTTTTCCAGGTACTGTTCCGGTACAATGTTTTTTCCCATTTTCCAGGTACTGTGCCGTACAGTACTGTTGTCTACCATTCCAGGTACTGTGTCTGTACAGTACTGTTGCTCTACCATCTTCCAGGTACGTGCCCGGTACAGTACTGTTGTCTCCATCTTCCAGGTACTGTGTCTGGTACAGTACTGTTTCTGCCATCTTCCAGGTACTGTTTTCTGGTACAGTACTGTTGTCTACCATTTTCCCAGGTACTGTGTTGGTACAGTACTGTTCTCCATCTTTCCAGGTACTGTGCCGGTACAGTATGTTGTCTCCATCTTCCAGGTACTGTGTCGGTACAGTATGTTGTTACCATCTTCCAGGTACTGTGTCTGGTACAGTACGTTGTCTACATCTTCCAGGTACTGTGTCCGGTGAGTACTGTGGTCTACCATCTTCCAGGTACTGTGTCCGGTACAGTACTGTTGTCTACCATCTTCCAGGTACTGTGTCCGGTACAGTAATGTTGTCTACCATCTTCCAGGTACTGTGTCCGGTACAGTACTGTTGTCTACCATCTTCCAGGTACTGTGTCCGGTACAGTACTGTTGTCTACCATCTTCCAGGTACTGTGTCCGGTACAGTACTGTTGTCTACCATCTTCCAGGTTTATATAGGATACAGGAGTGTGTTGATGGAGGGTAGTGGAGGTAATAATGGAGGGAGGTAAGGAAGGGAGAGGCTCCAGTATGTCTGCGGGCAGACAGCCAGACTCCGGCAAGAATTCGAGCAGAAAGAACCTCTGTCTGGCCTCCCCCAGGAGGCTGGCCTCACACCTCCCCCAAGAGGCTGGCCTCACACCTCCCCCAGGAGGCTGGCCTCACACCTCCCCAGGAGGCTGGTCTCACACCACCAGGAGGCTGGTCTCACACCACCAGGAGGCTGGCCTCACACCACCAGGAGGCTGGCGTCACACCTCCACCAGGAGGCTACCGTCACACCTCCACCAGGAGGCTGGCCTCACACCATCAGGAGGCTGGCCTCACACCTCCCCAGGAGGCTGGTCTCACACCACCAGGAGGCTGGTCTCACACCACCAGGAGGCTGGTCTCACACCACCAGGAGGCTGGTCTCACACCACCAGGAGGCTGGCCTCACACCTCCCCAGGAGGCTGGTCTCACACCACCAGGAGGCTGGTCTCACACCACCAGGAGGCTGGTCTCACACCACCAGGAGGCTGGTCTCACACCACCAGGAGGCTGGTCTCACACCTCCCCCAAGAGGCTGGCCTCACACCTCCCCCAGGAGGCTGGCCTCACACCTCCCCAGGAGGCTGGTCTCACACCACCAGGAGGCTGGTCTCACACCACCAGGAGGCTGGCCTCACACCACCAGGAGGCTGGCGTCACACCTCCACCAGGAGGCTAGCGTCACACCTCCACCAGGAGGCTGGCCTCACACCACCAGGAGGCTGGCCTCACACCTCCCCAGGAGGCTGGTCTCACACCTCCCCCAGAAGGCTGGCCTCACACCTCCACCAGGAGGCTGGCCTCACACCTCCACCAGGAGGCTGGCCTCACACCACCAGGAGGCTGGCCTCACACCTCCCCAGGAGGCTGGCCTCACACCTCCCCAGGAGGCTGGCCTCACACCTCCACCAGGAGGCTGGCCTCACACCTCCCCCAGGAGGCTGGCCTCA